TCTTGCTTCCTGTGCCTACTTGAAGATGTGAGTAAGAGCTTAGCTTCCGCTCCTCCTCTAACCACCTCTGCTGCCATGCCTCCCCGCCAATACTGTAATTCTCCTGGAACCGTAAGCTCAAATAAACCCTTCCTTTTGTAAGTTGCTTTGGGTCAGTGTTTCTATCATAGCAACAGAAAAGTAACTAATACAGGCAGGTTTAGAGAATTCTTAAGCCTGGCCAGATTACCAGTCGCTCTCTGCTTCCTGTGCCTGCATAAGGTTGTGATTGCTCAACTTTCTGCTCCAGCTGCCTTCTGCTGCCATGCCTCCCCTACCTTCATGGATTCTAATCTTTCTGTAAGTTGTCTTGGTCATGGCGTTTTATTACAGCAACAGAAAAGTAACTAATATACAGGTCCGTGATTTAAATGATCTTGCTATTGCTTTCTTCCATTGACTCTCCCCAATGCTGGGGATTAGACCTAGGACCTCATGCAGGCTAGACACATGCTCTATTTTTGAACTATATACTAACACCCTTTGCTATTTTTTTTTTTTTCCCTTTGGTCTTTTTGAGACAAGGTCTCCCTGTAGCCCTAGCTGGCCTGGATTCGATATGGAGACCAGGCTGGCCTTGAACTCACAGAGATCTTCCTGTCTCTGCCTCCCGAGTGCTGGGATTAAAGGCGTGCGCCACCACGCCCAGCTCACCCTTTCCTATTTTAATTGTACATTTTATGCTCTGAAAAGATGTATTTTTCCTATTCCTTGTTTCTGCCTATGACAGGATTTTTCCCTCCTATTTTTAATCTAAATTTATTTTTTAGGTTAATAGCTTTATCTTTTAATTGTCAAATTAAAATTGTATACATTTATTATGTTTAACATGTTTGGGATATATATATGAATTGAGTTAATAAGTGCATTACTTCACATTTTTTTTTTCTGGGAGATCACTTAAAATGTACTCTCAGTTGCTGGGCGTGGTGGCGCATGCCTTTAATCCCAGCACTTGGGAGGCAGAGGCAGGTGGATCTCAGAGAGTTCAAGGCCAGCCTGGTCTACATAGTGAGTTCCAAGGACAGCTGGGGCTACAGGGAAACCCTGTCTCAAAAAAGACCAAAAAAAAAAGTACTCTCAGTGACTTTCAAGAATATAGTGCATTGTCATTAACTGTAACTTCCATGATGCATAATAAATCTCTTGAAATTATTCTTCCTTCCTTTCTGAAATTCTCATCACTCTAACTTTAATCTAGCTCCAAACCTTAGCAGCTACATTCTACTTTATTCTGTGAGTTCTGTGAGTCCAACATTTTAGATTCCATATTTCTGATGGTTAGTGTTGTCAGCTTGACAAGATCTAGAATCACATGGGAAGCAGGCCTTCTGACATACCTGTGAAGAATTATCTAGTTTAAGTTAGCCTCTGGGCATGTCTGTGGGAGGTTATCTTCATTGTGTTTATCAAGGTGAGAAGACCTGCCAGTTCTGGGTGGTGCCATTCCCTTGCTTGGATCCTGGTTGATCCTGGATGGTACAGATGGAAAGGGGGAACTGAGCAGCAGTATAACAATCCCTCTCTCTTTCTTGATTGTTGATGTAATGTGACCAGTTGCTTTACACTCCCACTGCCTTGATGTCCCTGTCAATGTACCTTGAACTGTGAGCCAAAATAAACCCTTTCTCCCTTAAGTAGCTTTTATCTGAGTATTTTATTAAATCAGGAAAAACAGACTAGGACAATATATAAGAGATATCATATAGCATGCATCTTTTTGTGCCAGCACATGTTCATTTTATGGTCACAGATGACAGAATTGCATCCTTCAAGACCATACTTATAATAGTATTCCATGTACATGTAAACACTTTATGCATATGTAGATGCTTTTTTCTCTATATATCCATCAATGAGCACTTGGCTTAATTCTGTCTTTGGCTGTTGTGAATAACACTGCAACAGACTTGGGAGTAGGAAGTATCTCTTGAACATGCTGACTTCATTCCATTTGTATACATACTCACAATTGGGATTGCTAGATCATGTGATGATTATATTTATTCATTTTTGAGACCTTTATCCTATTCTTAATCATTTACATTCCCACCCAAAGTGCACAAGGGTTTTTTTCACATCCTTACCAGCACTTGTCTTTGTTTTTTATACATTCTGACAGATATGAAGTGAGGTCTCATTGAAGTTTTAATTGCCTTTCCTTGATTATTAGTGCATTTTTATATGTTCTTTGGCTACTCTCTGTTTTTTATTTATTATATAGATTTGTTGAATAAGTGTGAAACGGGATCAGGAAAATTATAAACCAGCCAGCTCACTACTTACCTGCTCTTGGTTCCTTTCTAGTTCCATCTCTGTGAATACAGTCTGATATGTTTTGATTGACCACACTGTATTTTTTTATTGACATTTTTAAAATGTAACACAGTAGGCATATTTCTTTCATTGTATTAGTCTTATGAGATAGAGCTTGCTTCCATTTTATTTAACCTCTTGATCAGCCAGCCAGCCTCACAGATGGGAATAAGTAGAAGACTAGAAGAGGCTAAGAGTAGGGTATCAGCTGAGCGGGCTCCTATCCCATCACCATTGTCTTCTCCACACTACTGCTTCACCTGGCTTTGGTGTGTAAGGTAGTATGACCAGTGACGTGGCTTTGAGGTTATCCCGAGCCTAACCTATTTTACCTGTGCCGAGAACACTGTAGTCTAGAGCTGGGAAAAACCATTACACACAAAGACTATTATAGTGAGGCTCTGGATATCCCTTTCTTACTGAATCCTGTACTGAAGGTGAGAAACATTTTCCTGAGTGGCTGTGGAATATGCCTTTGCGTCATCATAAGCTGAACCCTGATATATCGGGGACTGCTGATTATATCTTGAGCTGCAGACTTCTGCCACCTGACTCCTCCCCTTGAGTGCTTGGAGGAGCTGTGTAAGGCTGGCCTCTAGGCACCTAAGGAAATGAGCAGCCAAGCACCAGCCTTGGTTTGTCTGAGGATGAATTTTAGCTGCTCCCCATACCTGCCCTTTGCTCCTCATGTTTTCTAAAATGATGAGTACAGAAATACAGAAAGCCTCAGAAAACAGGGACGCAGTTTTAAAAAAGAAAAGAGAACAGATGCAATAAATATTTGCATTATATATTACATAATACACAACTAGAAATATTTCCTAAATAAACTTGGGTTTGCTGTTTTAAGAAATCTCTGAGTAGTTTATGTAAGGCACAAGTAATACTCATAAGAACGGAGCAAAAATTGGCAGTAAAAGGAAGGAAACGCAATAGGTGACTGAAGGTAAAAGAGGGAAAGGGGGAGAAAGGAAGAGGAGTCTCACATGACTGATACTTGAAGAATGGCATATGCCATCGTGATAATCCTAGGCCTGCAGGTTTGCCTGTTGGACTCAGTTACTGTGAAACTTACATGATCTTCCAAATTTTTAGTATAGCCCTCGCCAAGATGACTTCATTCTTGAGGATTGGTGTTACCCAAACATTTTATTGCTTAGTGGTTTCAGTCTTCATTTTATAAGAATAATTAAACCTTTTCCCCATTGAGTAATTTAGTGTGATGCAAGTGGGGTAACTAGATGTCTAAAAGTTAAAAAAAATCTTTTACAATACTCAGTGTCTGAGGAGCTTAATTTTAAAAGTTAAAGAATCATAGTCTCTGTATGGTAATGTGACAGAGCTTCTAAAGGACTCAACAGTGCGTGTCCCCACTGCTCCTCATCACTACCATGTTGGGAATCTGGGCCAGGCTAGATACTGAACCTGTTATAGCAATGGGCTGTGGCCAGCTGAGGGTCCATTGCACACCCACGTCCTACACTGTAGAGAGCTAGAGAATGATGACAGTCTCTGGGATCCTTCATTATTGGAAACTACCTCCAGGTTATAGCAGACCCAAGTGGTTTTTGCATTTATTAAATAGGTCCCAAATCTTCATTTCCTTATGACCTCTGGGGTGAACTCCAATGTCAGAGAAAGTTAATGCCCCGGGTTTTAACCCCTAGATATTTTTTTATATTATCTGTAGTATAGTATAATGAAAAACCCCTGTACTTTACATTTCTCATTATTTCTCATAGTATTCTAAAGTTTGCATCATTTCCATGTCTTTTGCAGCTGTTCAACATCTTTATCCCTTTCTTGTTTCTGGGAATACAGATGAACATACAGTTTCCACTTAGACCCTTTAATATTGCTTGTGTTTTCTAACTCCTTGTCGTAGTCCTCCCTTCCGCCTCTGTATCCCCCTTCCTTTCTTTTTCCTATTAAAGACAGAACCTGGAGCCAGGCAGTATGCTACTATTCAGCTATATCTCCAAGCCCCTCTTCCTATTTTCAAAGTTGCCTTCAGTCAAAATATGTTAATGATGTTTTCTACAGGTTTTTGTTGAGAAGTGTATGATGAACTTGAACTTTGTTTAGTTATCAGCATTATCTGTATAGATGTACTAAGTTGCTTATGTACTAAGTGACTTGTAAGACATTTGCAAATTGGCTGCTGTAACTGAAAGACCAGTAATGAGCCAAACTCCAGAGTTGATTTGATTTTACAACTCAGTGATGGCATTACAAATTTGGTTTCCATGTTTCTTCCCTGCAGCCCAAGTCCCACCCTCCTCTCAGGATGGCAGAATGGTTGTCAACCCTTCCCACATCCATATGATGGTTAGTCACATCCCATCACAGATGCCCCCAAAACACTTCTTCATGTCCATTGATCTCAACTGAGTTTTGCGTTCCTGCCTTGAACCACTAAGTATGGCAGCAGTAGGATTGTTCTGGGTAACTCAGGCTTGGAGACTGCTTCCCTCAATGCACAGAGCTGTGGGAGGAGGTTCAGAAGCCCCAATCAGAACTGAATATCTAGAGGAGGAGGAGCTGGATGAAGGGTGATGGCCACAGCAGCCTCTACACCTTGTGTTTTGAAGACATTTGGGTTTCATTGTAAAAGTGCTTCTTTTTTCTTCATCTTCTGTCTTTAGGGGCTGTTCCAACAACCAAACGGACAGGCATTCCAGCTCCACGGGAACTCTCAGTAACTATCTCAAGAGAGAGGTCTGTGCCGCGTGGTCCCTCCAGCTCCAAGAAGTTGGGGTCTAGTCCAACTTCCTCCTGCACCCCCACTCCTACCAAGCACCTGAAGATTACTTCAAAAGCCAAGCAAGAGCATGAAGGTGGAGAGAAGGCTGTGCTTGAGTCTCAGGTTCGGGAACTTCTGGCAGAAGCTAAAACCAAAGACAGTGAGATCAACAGGCTTCGAAGTGAACTAAAAAAATGTAAAGAGAGGTGGGCCCTGAGCACTGAAGGCACCAACACTTCAGACCCAAGTGCAGATGGGACGCCAGCCCCTTTAGGTGACCCAGAACCTTTGATAAGAGCCCTTGAGGAAAAGAACAAGACCTTTCAAAAAGAGCTTGCTGACCTAGAGGAAGAAAACCAGGCCTTGAAGGAGAAACTGACTTACCTTGAGCAGTCACCAAATTCAGAAGGGGCAGCAAGTCACACGGGTGGCAGCAGCTGCCCAGCATCCATAACCCAAGAGTCAAGCTTTGGAAGCCCAGCTGGAAATGAGCTGTCCAGTGAAACTGATGAGTACAGAAGAAGCACACATGGAAGTGCGTTACGGACATCAGGGTCTTCAAGCAGTGATGTTACTAAAGCCTCTCTGTCACCGGATGCTTCTGACTTTGAGCACATCATAGCAGATACCCCATCTCGGCCCTTGTCAGCCACTAGCAACCCCTTTAGGAGCTCTAAGTGCTCCCCCACTGGGAGCTCCCCCAACAACGCCAGTGAGCTGTCCTTGGCCTCCCTTACTGAGAAGATACAAAAGATGGAGGAGAATCAGCACAGCACTGCAGAAGAGCTACAGGCCACTCTGCAGGAATTATCAGACCAGCAGCAAATGGTGCAGGAATTGACAGCTGAGAATGAAAAGCTGGTGGATGAAAAGACAATTTTAGAGACATCCTTCCACCAGCATCGAGAGAGGGCAGAACAGCTCAGTCAAGAAAACGAGAAATTGATCAACCTTTTACAAGAGCGAGTGAAGAACGAGGAGCCCAGTGCCCAAGGAGGAAAAGTCCTCGAGCTAGAGCAAAAGTGCACAGATATCCTTGAGAAGAGCCACTTTGAACGAGAGAAGTTGCTCAACATTCAGCAGCAGCTGACCTGTAGCCTACGGAAGGTGGAGGAAGAAAACCAAGAGGCGGTGGACATGATTAAGCACCTGAAGGAAGAAAATGAAAAGCTGAATGGGTTCCTAGAACTCGAACGGTATAATAATAGTGTGATGGCCAAAACTTTGGAAGAATGTAGAGTTACCTTGGAAGGATTGAAAATGGAGAATGGGTCCTTGAAGGCTCATTTGGAGGCTGATAAGCAAAAGGCCACGGAGGCCAGCAGTACCTCAGGGCAGATGGCAGAGGCCTGCGAGGTTCAGGAGATGCTGAAAGTGGCTCGAGCTGAAAAAGATCAACTGGAACTGTCTTGCACTGAGCTCAGACAAGAGTTGCTAAAAGCAAATGGTGAAGTTCAGCATGTTTCAAGCCTGCTAGCCAAGGTAAGAAGAGGGATCTCTACTAGTCTTTACTCATCTTTGTTAACATTTCTCTGCAGGACCTTAGACTCATAGAGTCATTTGTGAATATAGCATTCTAGTTTAAAGATCTGTTGGATTCCAGACAGATTGGTATTGGGAATTCAAAAATGAAAACACCCAAATTTCTGTGCAAACAGTTCAAAGTATAGTGGGGATACAGTGAAATCATATCAGATAGTAAAATGCAGTGATAAAGAATATAAGGGTCTTGATGGTTGAGCAGTTTCATAGCATGCTTGAGGATCTAGATTTGATCTGCAGCACCACACAAAAATAAGATAAAATAAAATGTGAAATCGTCCTCTATGTTATTAACTCTTGTTGAGTTTAATGTTTTCTGAGCATCTTCTAAGCATTGGCTCTTTTAAACATGGTTTTAAAAATCCAGATAGTATTTTGCTATGAAACTATTTTATATTCATTGGTCTCCTGTTGGCTGTTTATGCTCTTTCTGGTCTTGGAATATTGTAAACATTTTTTTATATCACTCTGATTATTTCTTCAGGAAAAATTCTTAGACGTTGACTTAGTAAGTCAAGGAGTATAAACATTTTAAAGACTTTCAACACGTTTAGCCAGATTGCCCTCTAGAAATAGCATGTCAATTTGTTCCCACCAGCAGTTCATGAGAGCACTTGCTTCCCTGAGCTCTTGCCAAAACTTGGTATTAAATTATGTCATTCAGATCTGTTAATCATTTCCTGTAATTTTTTTAACCTTTTTAGTTTATATCCCAAGATGAAATAAATGATCACATCTTTCATTTTTTTAAATAACCCTTTGATTTGGCTGGAATGTTGTTATATGATACAAGACTATTGGCGGTGATTGTGTGATATTGTGTCTGCCTCAGAGTAGTGCTGGCTTCTTGTTCCTGTCATTTTCAAGTTCTAGGTTGCTTGACCTGGGGGCTGCTGGAGAGACAAGGTTAAAAACACCTTATTTCTGGGCTGTCAGTGTTTTAAAAAGTGGTGTATGACATAAGCTTCCAGGGGATTTCTGCCAGTTGCTTCATCTGTTTTAGGGACCAGTCAGTTGCAGTCTTGTTCTGTACTCAGCTGTCTGCCAGTCTTGGTGGTAGGTGGTGTTAGGAGATTTTATTGTTGTCTGTGTTGTAAATTCACAGGTATTTTACTGAAGGAATGGAAACAGTTTCATTAGTGGTTATGAACCAGGCACTCATTGAATTGTATGCTGATAAATGAAGCTTTGCCTTAGCTGCCTTGTAAAATAAGATTGCTTTTTTTTTTTTTTTTCTGCTTCAAGATTCCTCATTATGCTTTATGCAAAATGTTTCACCTCCAGGGTAGACCTTCTTGAAGTCTTCCCTCAGTCTGTCTTCTGTCTTTTTGTTATTTTGATTTGAATTATGTTCAAATATGTGTCAATAAATAATTTGGCATCTTAAAAATAACTTACTTTTCCAGATCAAAAAAGTATATATTCATTACAGAAGATTTAGAAAAGTATAGAAAATAAGCATTACCATTAACCCTACCACCTGAAAAACTTCTGCCACCGTTTTACTGCATATCTTTTTAGACTTTTTCTCAGTTTCTGCACATCTATGTCTCTGTATAACATACCTGAATTGACATGACTATAATATTTACTCTTTCTGTACAAAAGACTATATTGTGTATGTCCACATTCCATGATTACAGTGAACCAGTTAGATTAGTTTACAGGCTCTGCTTGTAACCTGTTTCTTACTTATTTCTACCTTTACTCCTTTTTAAAGAATTTATATAGCATTTTTTCTTACTAATTTTTTATTTATTTATTTATTTATTTTTTTGTATGTTTAAGACAGGGGTCTCCCTATAGTCCCAGCTGGCCTGGAACTTGCTGTGTAGATCTACCTGCCTCTGCCTCCTGAGTGCTTCGATTAAAGGCATGTGCCACCACACCCGGTCCTGATTGGATTTAAGGATATGGATTTTCCCTTATAGTTTTGTTCAAGTAAAAATAAATATAGAATATTTTGTATAAATTTAATCTCTTTAGAGGAAACAAAATATTTGTGTCATCTGTAGACTACAAGCACAACATATACTTAAAATCAAGCTATTTCTTAAAAATTAAACTGTTATTCACATATCCTATAACTTTATTGGTTTCCTGCCAACAAGAGTTATCACATACTGACAGTGGGACACTAGCCAGGGTTATTAAGAGGCTCAGGGTAAAAAAAAAAAGTGAGGTATAATGCTAAATAGAGAACATATATGTGTGCTACAGCTCTGTGATTTTTGTACTACCTTGTATGCAGACATCATCAGTCTGTCTATAACTCTTTCACATTAATGCAGGAAAAGCAAATCCCAAATAAACTTCCTAAATAAATGTTTTCTGTTGCTTTAACAGACCTGAGACTGGGTGATTTAAAAAGAGAAAGATTTATTTGAGCTGCTGGCTCTAGATGCTGCAAGTCTAAAGTCATGCAGCTGTGTCTTACAAGGGCCACATGCTGCTTCTATTCATGGTAGAATAGGAAGGAGAAACTGTCCCTTATGTAAGAGCCTGTAAGGCAGTGAAGGGGGATACCAGCATCTTTTCCTAAAAACACCCCTCTAGGTCACTAATTCAGTCTCCTAGCAAGAGAGATCCTGTGAGACTGTATCCATATGCTCACAGGGATAGTGCCCCCACTCCTGAGTCCCTCCTAAAGACCTCACCTGTATTCGTTACTTTTCTCATTGTTGTGTCAAAATACTTGACAGAAGCAGTTTAAGAAAGGAAGGGTTTATTTTGGCTCACAGCTTGAGGATACAGTCCATTACAACAGGGCAAGCATGGCAGCAGGAGTGTGAGGCTGCTGGTCATACTGTGTCTCAGGAAGCAGAGAGCAACAAAGGCTGCTATTCATCTTGCTTTCCCTTTTATTCAGTCCCAGACCCCAGCCCATGGGATAGTACCATCCACATCTAGGATGGGTCTTCCCTTTCAGTTAAACCTTTCTGGAAATACCCTCATAGACACACCCACATGTGTTTCCATGGTGATTCTAAATCTAGTCAAGTTGGTAATGAAGACTGATCACAATACCAGTACATTGAAAATCAAATGTCAACATGAGTCTGGGTAAAAACAAACCATATGCAAAGTGTAGTATAAACTGATGAGTCAGTGCATCCCTGCTGCAGGATATCAGCTAATCCCTGACAACCACAGATTCTAGTGATAATATGTAGGAATCTCTACCCAAAGGGAAACAAGACACTTGTAGCACAGAACTACGATGAAGGTTGTAAAGTGCTAGACTTGGATCCTCCTTACTTGTCCAGTGATTAACTTCTTTCCATCTTTCCACTACAGTGTTGAGTAGAACAGTGATATAGATGGATTCTAACCTTGGACCTCATTTAAAGGGAACCACTCAACCTTTGATCATGAAGCATGTTTGTTGTAGGCATTTGCTGCATAGTCTGTGTTCTGTCATCCACGTGTTTTACTATGAAGCATCTCGTTTTATTAGCCTGTTTTTAAATAAAGGACAAAGTTTTGGGGGGGGTGGTTTCCTGTATTTACTAATATGAGCTGATAGTTTTTGTGTCATCATACGACTTTTCCCCCTTTCATTTGTTACTGAGGTAGATTACAGGAACAGTTTTCTTTCTGGTCTTTTTGAGACAGTGTCTCCCTGTAGCCCCAGGTGATCTGGAACTCCTTTTCTAGACCAGGCTGGCCTGGAACTCACAGAGATCCACTTGCCTCTACCTCCCAAGTGCTGGGATTAAAGGCGTGCACCACCACACCTGGCAGTAATTGTTTTTACTAAGCCAGTACAGTGTAAAATCATTTGGCTTTTCTTCAGTAAATCTTCAGTTCTCAGTTACTTTACTTGACATTTATGCCCAGAACCTGCATGTATAACCGACTGCCTTAGACAGCTGTTGGTGGGCAGTGACTCTTCGATTAATCAACCAAGCAAACTGGTGTAGTTAAAACTTCCATCCCCTGAGCATGGCATTCATCCATTCTAATGCTTGGCAAAAGGTGAATGCTATGAGGACAGGGAAAAAAAAAAAACTGTGTTTACAAACAGAGAAAGCAATGCCATCCCAGCCTCTGATGTCTGAGAGTAAACAAATGTAGGAAATCTATGTAAGTCTCCAGAAGAGCCTGAGAAGCTTTAAAATACACCTTTAAAAATTGTTCTTGAGGGCTGGGGAGATGGTTCAGTGGTTAAGAGCACATACTGCTCTTTCAGGGGATCCAAGTTCAGTTCCCAGCAACCATGAGAAATAGCTCACAACCAACTATAACTCCAGCACCTGGGGGATCTGACACGTCTAGCTTCTGTGGGCACCTGCACTCATGTACACATACCCACACAGATACACACATAATTAAAAATAAAAATAAAGCCAGGCATGGTAGCTTTAAAAAAATCTTTTAAAAATTGTTTTTGATAATAGTTGGGTCTCTTCCTTCTACAAAATAGAAAATTGGTAGGACTTTTACAATAACTGATTGTTTTCTAGGCCTTTTCCTCTCATTTTTTTTTTTTTTTTTGTCTTCAGCAGTTCAAAAGAATCACTGCTCTTTTCTACTTCTCTGATAGATATACCTAAGCATTTCGTTGACAGCTTACATAACACTTTGGCAGAACTTTGATGAAGTGTTTGATTTCTGGAGGATCTCAAAGCCTCAGCCTCCAGTGAAACAAACAGGTACCCAGGGGCCTGAGCTGGCCAACAAGCTGCATATGGCTCTTTGGGACTATTGTTTTTCCAGATTATAATGACATAACTTTGATTAATTAATTAATTTGATTAATTCTGTATCTTAACATGTTACCATGTTACCAGGCTGGTGTTGAACTCTTGGACTCAAGGGATCCTCCTGCCTCAGCTTCCACAATATTATACTAGAGGCACAGGCCACTATGCCCAGGTTTCAACTTTTTTCTTTTACCTTTCAGCTATTAGGGATCTTGATTTCAAGTTAGAATATTG